AAAAGAAAACATGAAAAAACAAGTAAACCACTCAGGTATTTCCTTTTGTTGCACTATGAGATTAGAGAGTATTGAGCTCTCCAACAGCTCTGTGGGAAGAGCTGAACGCGTGTAAGAGTCTTTTTTGTAAACAATAAAGTGAATCTCCAGCTTATGTCAGGAGGTGAAACATGTGGCTGGAGGGGCCAGATCTGGCCCCGGTGCTGCTACTTGCCTCTATGCTGTGTCAATCCATCACAAAGGACTGTAGGGCAGCAACCAGCAGCTACTTCCACTCTCAATACATCTAATAATCTTTTCTTTAATTACTATTCTATTTTTTTACTCAGTAAAAAGTCAGAAAATGTTGAAAATGTGTTATTTTCAGAATGCACCAAATGTCAAGTTTGAGCTGTAGAAAACTGAGAAACTTGCAAATATTCACATTTGGCTTCAAATAAATAACTTGAACAATGAATTATCAGCTAATCATTTCAGCTGTGGGCAGGATAACTGTAGAAGCAAGGCTCCTTAGGATTTTATTATGGCCACACTGTATGAAACTATAAATGTTTGTGCTCTAAACCCACATGTATCCACCTCACACACTGTATAATGCTGCAATGTGGATGTAAGTTGTGTAAAATGGTGCTAAATGTCTAAAAAGTGACATTCAGTTTTCATAAGAATAGCCTTGTTGAACCTAAAATATGTTTGTGCACTAGTGTAACTTCAACCAAAAACCAACCAAACCTGCCCAACAAAAGTCCAGCTTCATGCTGTTGGCTCTACAGGTCAGGAGACGCTTCCTGCAGGTAAACAAAGAGAGAAAAAAAAAAGTCTGATGGTGTCAGATGATCCATCAGCAAACAGCTCAAAGCAAACAGAAGCTGCCCATTAATACCTGAACAATCGGAGTCCCGCTGAGACGCAGAGTGACGGAGCAAACACCGACTCATTGTTTAAAGAGCTTCTTTAGGAGGCATTTGAGTCTTTGAGGAAGCGAGTTAAGTCCTAGTTCTCTTTTCCATTACCTGCTTTGTGCTGCTCAGCGAATCAGCAGCTGTCTGTCTCACAAACATCCACCTGGATCAATGTTAAGGAATAATTCTGGTGTCTGGATCCATGTTTTTGTATTTTTTTCTTATTGTACTCATAATGATAAAACTGTCCTTACCAATTTAGACTTTTTATTTGTCAAGGTAATCATTAGAGTCATATTAAAGGAACTGGTTTGACTTCAAATATATTCCACAAATGTTAACTGGCTGCTCCGATCATGACGTTCATGTGCTTAGAAACGGGCAACAGAAATAATATTGGAGAAAAAAAAGTGTATTAAATTGCATTATTGCACAACCCCCCTTGTGTTTCCAGCTGTAGCCGTCTGTAGCTATTATTCGCTGGTGAATCTTGCTTTGTGAATTCCTCCCAGAGATTCGTGACTGAACGCTGTTTGATTCTGACTGGACGCTCGGCTGCCAGTGTACCGTAGCCTTGCACAAAGCCCATCCTGGGCTAATTATTGCACAACAACAACTACACTTCATGTTGTGAACATCAGGCATCAATTATGACGGCTTAACTTGTCAGACAGAGAATCTCTTCTTTTCTTTCAGGTGATGGCAGCTCTCTCTTTCTCTGAGCAAAAAATAATCCACGTGTCTGCAGTGAGCTCACCTGTTTTGTTTATTTTATCATGGATGCAACTCTGTCTCATAAAACTGAATCACAAGATTAGTTTCATAACAACGTTTTTTTTCCGTCTGCTTTCTATCCTGTAGAAGAAACCGCTCTGTTTTTACAGTATGATGCGCTTTCTGGCATTTTATTTGACAGTTAAGCCCTCTTCAGACACTGCTGGTGTTGTCGTCTGTTAACATGACGGCATTCTGTCACTCAGACATACGTCACTTTTATATTGATCGCTGCTTCTCTCACACAAACCAACGACAGTGTCCCAAAGAGCCGCAGCATGTGCGTGTGATTTGACATATACTGCATAATAATGCGCTAACAATCAAAGAATTAAATCTAAACAAACTGCAGGTTTATCAAACTGTCCCAATAACCAACAACCTCGTTCATTTATGAAATGTCCACTTTACAGCTGTGGCAGACAACTCAACTTAAGGACGACCGCCGTAACAAATAGTTTAACTGCATAAACTGTGGGTGTGTTCGAAATCATCCACTCACTCTCTACTCACTATAAAGGAACCACTATGGAGTGAACAATGTAGGCAAAGCAACATTTCAGACACTATTCGAGCTATTATTTACGTCGCTCGCTAGCCACGATTTGGGCCGTAACAGCGTAGTACAAACACATCACATTCACAGTTTATTGCACAGCTAAGAAACGGCTAAAATAAAATGGAATCGAACATAAACAGGAACTTAATCACATTTTGATGACAAGTTTTTTGCTCTCGTTCGTCTTGTTTGCATTTCCTGTTGCTTGCTTAGTGACCATCAGCTGTACTTTTCACGGTGCATTGTGGGATATTTTCAGTGCACTATATAGGGTGTAACATTTGTAACTTACCATTCTACAAAATGGCGAACGCCTATGTAGGCCACTATAGAGGGTATAGGGGGTGATTTCAGTCACAGCCTGTGACTCTGTTGACGGCTCACCTGTCTGAGGTGGAGGAACATATACAGTGTAACCTGCTGCTGGGTCCTCATCCATCCTGTCTCACTGTCAGGGATCATGTATAAGTAGTTCATGAAAATCCTGCTGTTGTTCCACGTCTGTCAATACTTGCAACTCTTTTGCTTTGGAGAAACTCAGATGGATCCAGTTGCTGTCAAATGCTGCTTGTATTTAAGAGAGTCAAAGGAAGCAGCTGAAAGCAACCAACTAAACTTCAGTTCCTGTTCATGTTTTGTCTCGGGGTGGGACTTTAATGCATTAACGCGTTAATTACAAATAATTAATTACAACAAAAATAACGTGTTTAAAAAATTCGTCCCTATCCAGGACTGCTAGCGTTAACAGCTCCAGAGGGTTTTTGCGCTCACTACAACATGCTTTGCATCCAGGTGGTACCGTCAGCTTGATGTGCTTCGGTGGGATGCAAATTCTTTTCTTGCACAAGTTGCACAAAACCACACTCTTGGCAGTTTTTTAAAAATGAAACTTGCCCTCCATCAGTCCAATCAATACACGCTCATCGGATTCCTCCATGTTTGTTGCTGTTAGCGTAGCGCTGATG